AACGATTTGTTGTGTAAAAAAATTGATCACAATACGGTTGGAAAATACTAAAGCGCTGCTGATTTTTAAAATACTTGAATGGTCTTAAAACGTTTTGAGTATTTTCAAATGTTCAAATATTAATAATAAGACGTGATAAAAATGAATTTTATTTTTATTATAAGATATTGAATTTTTTTTTATTATTCTTAGTTTTCTAAGCTGAAAATAATTGGAACAGGTATTTTCTTTTGTGAATGTTAGATGGTTTTTCTTAATATACTAGGTATTTAAGAAGCGTTATACGGTGACTGGTGATACAAGCTCCTTTTCGTAAGCCATAATATTATATGCCACGAAAACAATTAAAAAACAAAATTGATATTCTTTGTTTCATAATATAAAATTTTTTTTTGAATTTCAATAATTTCATTATATTTTAATAATTTTTAATAATAATGAACTTTATTGCAACACAAATACATACATAATACAAAATATACAAAAATACCATGAGTTATAATTGCACTACCCCCTTTAAGCAAAGCTTGTGGTGGGGGAGCGAGTATGTGTACAATATATTACTAAACATTATTATATTATTGATTATACGTGTTGGTATTGGAAATTCATTAACCTAAAATGAATATTTATGATTACACGGAATCTGGATAGATCTGCACTAAACAYCAACATGTGAGTATTGACTGGCGATGGTATTACGACCTATATCACAATGTATACCAGAGGACATAAGAGTATAAAACACGTTATCAATAAATATCATAATTTTTTTTTTATGAAGTCTTCATTCGATAGAAAATAATAGGTATCGTAAAATCTAAATAAACATCATCGCTGTACAAACACAAGCTGACGTTAATCGCATTACCGAGAATTTGCATTTAGTTGGTAGAATGTATTTTACTATTAATAAATCCTAACCGGATTATTTAGCAACGTTTTTCATTTCCCCACTAATACAGGAGGTGTTATTTTGCTGACACATCTTCATGGCTACGTCATTTACCCGTCCACACTATTACTTATTAGCCTATAATTCATAAAACTATTAATTATTATTAAATGATATGTATAGACATATAGTATATACCTACTATGCAAAATACAATATTTTACGACATATCGTGAGATATTTGTCGAGTCATAAACACAAAAGATGTATGATTTATAATTCGTAACCGTAACAACATTACAATCATGAATTATCTGTAAATGTATATATTATTAATACACAAAGATACTATTATATAATAATATATAATAATCAATATTATTTTCCGTGAACACATTTAACGCTCATATATAGATATTTAATAACCTTAAAAATATAACATACAAATAGTAGTGTTCTATTTTTTGATAAATGAATTAGCAGMAAAATCTATAGACGGACGAACATATTGATTGAAACAATTGTTTTCCTTTTTTAATAACTATATGAAATATAAAAAGAGCTATAGGCGCACGTTATTGAGTAATAATTAGATTAATTATATCACATTATTACACGTATTTAATTTTTTATTTTTAACAACAACAACTGTTTTACATACCTATACTACTTAATCTTTAGATATACTTGTTTTTATCTTTATCTTTTTTTTAGATCTGTAAACTATGGTTATAATTCTAAAACTAACTGAATGCGAGGAATTTAAAATTTGATAAAACAAATTGTCGACCCGACGTCTTTACACTACACGTTCATTTAGGGATACCATAGGGGTCATAGCCTMTTAGACATCATAAACTACCTATAAATAATAATTTATTTCAGAAATCAGCATAAAAGTACATAATATTTATAAATTATAACCACGGCCTCTACAAATAGAGTCCTGCTATCACATAAGTCATTAAGTGATCAGTGGGTAAATACTAAATAGTCAAAAGTAAACTTTTTGGATAAAAAGGAAATTGCCTCCACCTCTCTCCGATCCCCCACCTATAACTTCCAGGACGAATAAAATCAGCTTCAACTACGTTCTCTGTTCTTACTATTTTGCATACCCGACTTAATTGTATAAGAAAAAAATAGGTACCAACCCAGTGTGACGAGTTTCATTGAATGACTTATAATGTTAGTTTGATTGGCCAGCTGACAAGTATATACACCATGGTCGGACGATGTCAAACTCCGCGTGTATATGGTTTGATTAGCACTTTCAGGGTTTAATATGAAACTGGAGACGTCACTAGGCCACGGATAAGGACGATTATCCTTGAACCTGTAAAAATATTCAAATAGCGTCATTATTTTTTTTTCAAGTATTTGTTTAAGGGATGTAACAATTCGTTCGGTTATTTTTACAAACTACACATATTAAGGGACTGTTTCAAAAACAATAATATGCAAAGTATAGTAAGATGTTATTTACTTAATACACGTACTC